TCTGAGCTGACACTAGCCATCCTGGAGCCACAAAGCCCAGAGAAGTCACAGCACAGCCTCAGGGATCACATGGGTCCCCAGGCAGGGGTCCATAACTGTCCTCCCAGAGGGAGATCTCAAGTGCTCTTCAGCACAGCACTGTTAATAACAAAGCTGATGGGACCAGCCATGGTGTGCTGAGTGCTCAGAACCTACCAGGCCCTGTGCTCAGCTCTCTCCATACATTCTCTCTCTCAGTCCTCACAACGTCATGAGGTCAGCATAGCCCATGGCCCCATTTAATAGGTGAGTAAACTGAGGCTTGGAATGTTTCCGGAACCTGCCCAAGCTCACACAGCTGATGAGCAACAGAGTCGGCAGAACCAGCATTTGTTGGAGGTGTGCTATCTCCTTGAAGCCCACACACATCTTTCAACACAGCTGTGGATAGAGGGACGCCAACTTCCACAGGAGAACCCAATGGTCAGAACAGTGACTGGTTTACCCAAGGTCTACACAGGCTTTCCAGGAAGACTAAAGCCCAGGCTTTCTGACTCCAGGCCTCAGACCTGCCCCACGCCTCTGGGGGCTCAGCCCCAGTCATCCCTTCTCCCTGGGGCCCGCTGCCTGCTCCAGCCTTGCAGCACCCCGCCACCCTCAATGGTGAGCTCCCCTGGCAGTGGCTGGTGTAGTTCCCTTGGCTGTCCATTAACTGCCATCCTCTGTTTGTGTTTCAGCCCCAGCTGCCCAGGGACACTGGGAAGGGAAGGACCTGGGGACTGACCTTGTACTTTTTTTGAAGCCTCCGATATGTCAAGCCCAGAGCTGGACTCCTAGGTGTCTCAGAAAGAATGAGCAAACAAATGAATGATTTGCCCAGGGGGAATTGTGTCTGGAGAGGAAAGGAGTGGAGAAAGGAGGCGACAGAAGAGGGAAAGAGAAGATTCAAATAGGGAGCGGGTAGAAAAACACAGGTGGTCTTATTACTCCTACTCTCACACCCAGGAGGCTGAGACTCCAAGCCAGAGAGGGACCCGGCATCTGTGTCATCAGCAGATTGTGCAAAAATGACCAATTGTATGGCAGAGAGCAAAAGCCATCGGCCCCAGGGAGACAATTTAATGCTAAAGACTTGGCTAAAAATTCTTGATAAGATTTTTTTTAGATAATTTTGTTAAAAACATGTAAGGAATATTTTTAAAGATATGACATATTCTGTATATTCTGGTCTACTTCCATTCTTTGTTAGCATTTCTTTTTCCCCCCTCCTCTTTTTTATTTAGTCAAGTGCCGACATGTAAAAATCTTTAAGTGAATTGAACATCCACTTTCATATTATTGCTCATTACAAACCCTCAAACCCCAAAACAGTCATAGTTTTTAGAAACAGCAAAATCCATGGGTATTCTGGAGTTGACAGTGTGACAGATGAAGCCATCACATAGATGCTCACTGCCTCACAGGACCTGAGGACCTGGAGACTTTGCGTGCCATTTGGGAGGCAATCAACATGGACAACAATACCAGCAACCATTGGCCATGCATTACAACTCATGGAATTGCCTCTTGTACAGTTTCCAGTGGTGTTCCTTTAAGAAGTAAATCCAGAAACAGAGAAGTCTGCAGCTATGCACCAAATGCATTCAGGTTTTCCTAAAGCTGTCCTCTACCACAGACGTACCCCCATGCACTTAAGAACTGTGCCCAGGGCTGGCAACTAGAGCAGGAGCCTCATCATGCTGCCCCAGGGGACCTGAGGGACACCTGATAAGTCACTTCTTCCTTTTGGGCCTGATCTTCTCATCCACACATAGATCATAACCTGCATAGGTTAAGGTTTACTTGTTCAACAAACATTTCTGAACCTTACTATTTACCAGGCATATGTGACCCCAGTAGCCCCTGTGTTCTCAAGGTGAGAGCTGCCCTGTGATTATCAACCTTATGCTGCAAAACATTCACACGTTCAGGTCATGCTGTCTAATATGGAAGATGCTGTGTTTCCAGCTTTCTGTTGAGTTCCCAGGTGAGTTATCCCAGGCAAGTTCCTTTCTTCCTTTATTCATTCAGCAAACATTCAGCCGTAAACACTTTGCAGGCCCTGAATATACAAAGGTCCGTGAGATAAATACCTGCTCCCTTAGATGTCACAGTGTAACTAGTTATGAAATAAACCATGTGGTGTGATCATCTCTGATGATAGAGATGTGAGAAATGTGTCCCAGGTTGAAACTACTGAGATTTGGACAATGAATTTTGTCCAGAGGGGAACAGACAAAACTGAAGAATGTATTGGAGACCATCAGATGGGCACAGTGAAGAAGGTGACTCCTGTCGTCCCAGGCTCAGGCAGGCACAGAGCCTCATGGGGGTTGAGGGGGCACAGGTTCAGTTCATAAATGGCCCACTCCACAGCTCTGTGCCTGTGAGGCAGAGCCTGGTGCCTGGAGGGCGTGGCAGGGGAAAGCCACTCAGTTCTTGAACATCAAGGAAGAAGAGTGCCCTTGGCCTTCTTTTTGAAAGCACAAAATAATCATCTAGAACCTTTTATCAACAAGAACTAATGTTGTTTAGCAAGTATCCTAATACGTTTCCCTCCAGGATCTTTGCACTCTGCTTGAATGGGCTCATGCTGTCCCAGAACATGCTGTAGGGACATAGGAATAACTGTGTCCTAAAATACCCTTTAGGCCTCCTTCTTCCTTTTTCTACACATCCTTGAATCTAATTCAGCCTTCCCCAGGTACCCCATTCTCAGCGGTGTCTCCCTATCTGGAGAACTTGAAACCTGCCCCGCTCCAGCTCCTGCCATCCCTGGTGCTGATTCTGGGAGGGTAGGGTGGGGGTCCCCACATCGGCATGGAACCCCATGGGAAATGTGCCTGTCGTCCACTATTGGTCCAGCTGCTACCACCACCCACTTCTGCCTCGCTGAGCCCTGACATCCATCAGCACGGATGTCTGTGAGTGAGGTGCTCCATGTATTGCCTCCTAATCGATTCGCTGAAGCATGAGTGTGTGTGAACAAGGAAGATGACCAGACATTGTATCTAGAACATCCAAAAAAAAAAAAATCAACCACCTGAAAATCAAGGTGAAATTTCATAAAATGTAATATGGATATTATCTCTCTCTTGATGTCCTGGAAAAGCTATGATAGAAGAGTCAAAAGACCTAAAAAGGACTGCCAATCACTATGTGACTTTGGATGGGTCAGTGCCTATTCAGCCACCGTGGTGAAATCTCGTCTGCACATTGGTAGTGACGTCAGTGAGAACTCAGTTAAAGGTGTGCGTGAAGTTGAGAGTAAGAGCAGTTCCTTAGTTGATGCAGGTGGCTCTGGAGAATTTAATAAAACTCTAGGCAATGGGGCATCAGTAAAGCTCCCACAAACTCACAGAGCCGTTTGTGTGTGTGTGATGAGCCTGTGAATATTCTCTATAAACTGTAGAGTGCTCATAAAAAGAAAAGCTTTGTATGGTACAAGATGTTTGCAGCATGATTGCCTGTCAGGTCATAACCCCATGTGGTCTATCTGCTCCAACATGGTAGCAAAGCAGTGTGATCTGTTTTCTAAACAGAAGACTCAGTCCATCTCCTGAGACTCAGGCCAGAGCCTAGAATGCAGACCTCAAGCCCCAAAGCAAGGATGGAGCAGAGAGGGAGGCAAGACAGGAGTGAGAACCATGTGGATAGGTCGTCTGCCCAAAGCTGAGTGGGGCCTCTAAAGCAGAGGCCTTCAAGTTCACTGTCCAGCTCTGAGGATGCTACTGACAGCACCGCCCACCCCTGCATCCTGCCACATGCCCAGCAATAAGCTTGGCACACCCTGTTCCCCACTAAGCCCAGAACTCTTCATTTTTATTGACACCAACACGGGTAGCTACCACATTGGGGCACTGTACATGCAATATCCCACCAGAGCCTCTCAACAGATCCATTTCACTCTGAGATCCTAGAGAAGTCACAGGATGTGACTGGGCACACGCTGCAGGGCAGTACAGCCAGGAGCAGTGCACGGGGCTTTCTGTACATCTCCCGACATTTTTGCCATACCTCTGGCTTGTCCAGCAAGAGGGTTTGTGTTTAGCACCAAAGACCTGGTGACACAGGCACAGCCAGTTCTTCTCATGGACATCTCAGCCTCAAGTAAGAGCTCAGAAGCAGAGTCAGTGTTGCTGGGTAATGACCAGGTCTCTGACAAACTGTGTGACCTGGAGCAGGTCACTGCCCTCTATAGGTCTGTATTCTCAATTGAAGAATGAGGCAGGGGACAAAGGGACAGCATGGGACCCTCAGACTTCTCACAGACCATGCTACTCCGATCCGCAGGATGTCCAGGGCCTGGCCTGCTCGGGCCCACACCAGACCCCCACAGCTTAGCCTGTAGAATCCAGGCACTCTGTTCCATCTCAAGGTCTGCCTGTCCCCTCCCCACACTCCGTATCTGAGCACCTGCACCCCACTGTCCCCACCACCCTTCCCTCCCCATGCCACGTGTGCCCTCTGCCTTCACCTCCCAGCTCCTCCTCGTTCCCTTTCCTGGTGTGGTTGACTCAGCCTGGCCTCCTGGAGTTTGGTCCTTTCTGGTTGGTCCTAGCACTTCCCTCTCCTGAACTGTCCCCAGCGTGGGGCAGCAGGATGGTAGGATCTGGGCAAGGCGGGAGAACTGGAAAAGAAGTGAGGAAGTCTCACCCGATCCAGGCAGAGCTTCCAAGAGAACTGGTCTGGGAGCCTTTGCCTTTCCCCAGACTGCCCTCAAGGGCATGCCAATGGGCAGAGCCGAGCAGGGAGCTGTGGCCAGCACCTGTCCACATGGGATCAGTGCCTGTTCTCGTGGACCAGGCCTGAGGATCCCTGTTATCAAGTATTTTGAATCACTGTCACTTCCAACCCCTCAGAGCCAGAGTAGACAGATCTGAAACCACACCCCACAACTTTCCTGCAATCCCTGCTCGAACACCCCTGCTATCCAACCACAGGAGAATCAACAGAAGCAGCCAGGGTCAAGTGTGCTGAGCAAGAGACCACACTTTATTAGGGATGCTTCCAGGGGAACCTGGTTACACATGATACCAAAAGCACAGTTAAGACCAGACGCACGACACAAGAAGAATTTTGGTAGAAAAGCCTGCTAAGCGGAGTAGCCCCCCATCTAGGGGACTGAGGGGTCATTTAGCAGCCAGGAGCCAGAGGGGGCTTCCTGGGGGGCCGAGCCTGATCACAGCGGGCGGGGCAGCATATGCTCCCTGGAGGAGATGACTTTCCCATCCCTTATCTCCTCGGTGATGGTGCGGATCTGGGTGCTGATCTGAGGACCCGCCGGGGTGCAGGGTATGGTTGGGGCGCAGGGGACACAAGGAACTCTCATGGCAGGCTTGCAATCCGTGGCACAAGGGTGAGGAGGAAGCCTGTGGAAATAACGTCATGCAGGGTTCACTTGATATTGGGGCTTTGGGCTGAGAATGATGTGAAACAAATTTAGGGGATCAAGTGAGATGGGTGGGTAATAACAAAGATAGGTCTCAGACTATTTCAGTGCCTCTGAAATCCCTAAGCGTGGAAAGATAAAACTGCAGGAAAGACTAGAAATTCCCAAGCAAAAACAATGGTTCGAGAAGCAGGGTGAGTGCTGGGTTGGTGCATCCTCTGGGCATTACCAAAGCCCAGGGCAAGAAGGACCCTCCAGTGGATTTGGTTCCATCCCCTTCATCTTTGCAACAACCACTTCAGGGTCTGATGCCTCCCACTTGGCCCTTTCCCCACCCCAGCCCTTGGGACCCATGGGCCACTCACTTGCAGTCTTCTCCCTCCAGCAGGCCCCGGTAGGTGTTGATCTCACACTCCAGCCGAGCCTTGACATCCAGCAGCACCTTGTACTCCTGGTTCTGCCGCTCCAGGTCACAGCGGATGTCGGCCAGCTGGGACTCCACATTGGTGATCATACACTGCATCTGGCCCAGCTGTGAACTGTAGCGGGCCTCTGTCTCCGCCAGGGTGGATTCCAAGGAATTTCGCTGCATCGGGAAAGAGGAAGAGCTACCAAGGGGAAGGTATCCCACCCAGACACCCACAGCCCTGGGGTATCTGCACATGGTTTGTGATCAGGCCCCAGGATAGCCCACATGCTGAGGCTGGTGGGCCAGGGAGCCTGCCATGAACTGTGACGTCACTCAGGCAGATGCCACCCACCATGCTATACTGGGCCTGCAGCTCAATCTCCAGGGCGTTGACCGTGCGTCTCAGCTCAATGATCTCGGTCTGACAGGTCTGAAGCTGCTCTGAGCTGGACACCACCTGCTGGTTCAGCTCCTCAGTCTGCAACACACGAGAAGATGCAGGCATGGTCAGAGGAGGTAAAGCTAATTTAAAGAGGGCCCACACCCCAGGAGCTGCCCCAGGCGCACCTGGGTGTTGAACCAGGCCTCTACATCTCTGTGGTTATTCTCCACCAGGGCCTCATATTGGCATCTCATATCATCCAGTATCTTGTTGAGATCCACAGGTGGGGCGGCATCCACCTCCACATTCAGTCGGTCCCCAAGTTGGCAACGGAGTGCATTGACTTCCTGCAGAGAGAAAGCAAGACGTCTCAGGCCGTAAGAAGGATGCTGGCTTAGCGATTCAACTGACCTCCCCTCTCTGCCAGCTGTGTAGCATTGGACAGGATGCTTAACTGGGTCTCCCTGTGGACATACACCTACTTCCTCCTGGGGATTTGGGAGATTTAGGTGAGATGGTATAAACGCCAGGCAAATAGAATTGTCATCAGGCACCATAACCTAATTGGAGATTAGTGTCATGGGCAGAGTAAGGACTTTGTGACTTAACCTCTTTGTGCCTCAGTCTTCTCACATGTAAAGTGGAGCTTGTATTGCTGAGTCACTCTTGGGATTACTATGAGGATGATGTGTTAGTGTTTCATCTAGTTTCTGACACACAATAAGCTCAAGGGCTGGCAGAGATTCCCTCAGCTGGATGGGACACTTTGGGGATCAGGTGGCACCAGCCTCACCTCCTCGTGGTTCTTCTTGAGGCAGAGCAGCTCTTCCTTCAGGGACTCCACCTGAATCTCCAGGTCAGCCTTGCACAGGGTCAGCTCGTCCAGGAGCCTGCGCAGGCCATTGATGTCAGCCTCCACCAGCTGCCGCAGGGACAGCTCGGTCTCGTACCTGCAGACATAACCCTGCTGAGCATGCTGCAAGGGAAGTCACACATAGGCAGGGGATCATGCCCTGCTGCCCAGCTGCAGTGACTGATTTGGGGTCAGTAGCATGGTGGTCCTTTGCCTCAGGAGATATTAGTGCCACCTTTTCCCATTTTCTACTCCAGCTGGTGTTATTCCACCCTACAAGTTCCCAAAAGCAGGGGACAGAGATGAGGCGGCAGCAGCAGAGCAAACCTCCCCTGGTCAAGCCACTCACTTGGTCCGGAAGTCATCAGCAGCCAGCTTGGCATTGTCGATCTGCATGACTAGCTGGGCATTCTCCGCCTTGGTCAGCAGGATCTGGGGAACAGAAGGCTTCCCATGAACTGGGGAAGGCCCAGCAGTGGGGAGGCAGGTAACCTGGCTCACAGAGGCCATGCCTCTAAGTATGGGCAGCACCTCATGCTTCCTGAGCCCGGACACCAGGCATGAAGGAACCATTGGCCCCAGGAGGGGCATTATAAGGACATCAGTCCTGGCATCTATAGCCTCTTGGTGGCACAGTGTGATATACCAGGGTGAGGCAGACTTGAGTTCAAGTTCTGTATCCAACATGCTCAGGCTGTATGATGCTGGGCAAGTTACTAAACCCTTCAAAATTCAACCTCCTTATCTATTCAATGAGTCAAGTAATACTCATCTCTCCAAGATCAGGAATAAATAAATCAGCGGATATGAAATTGTCAGGCACAGTTCTATACCCAGTAGGGGCTCAGTACGTGTTCCTTCTCTCCCTGTAACTGAGCCACTGAGGAATGGCTGGCAACAGGGTACAAACCAGAGACCTGTGGAGAATCCTGGGTCCTCCAGGAAACCAGGGTCCTAGAGAGAAAAGCTTGTCTGTCTTTCCAGGAAAATTCCCTGTTTATTCCCTAAGCGACAGTCCCACCTGGGAAGGTCTTGGAATGAGACAGGACCCTCCCAGCAGCAGGGCTGCTCAGCTGGAGGGAGATCAGGTCCCCAGTACCTTCTGCTGGAGATCCTCAATGGTCTTGAAGTAGGACTGGTAGTCCGGGCAGATGTACGGGATCTGACACTCGTACCACTCACGGATGCGGCTCTCCAGCTCCGCGTTCTCCCTCTCCAGCTGGCGCACTTTCTCCAGGTAGTTGGCCAGGCGGTCGTTCAGGAACTGCATGGTCTCCTTCTCGCTGCCGTTGAAGGAGCCCTCACAGAACCAGCCCCCGGTCCCAGCAAAGCCAGAGGACAGGTAGGAGCCAGGCAAACAGCTCCCCAGGCCAGGGAGGCCCATTCTGAATGAAGAGATGGATCCCGAAGCACCAGCAAGACCGGGGACCCGGCAGGACCCCAGGGAGCGGATGGAGGACACCCGAGAAAGGCCACCTGCTGTGCCACAGAGGCCCTTCACAGACCCAGAGGAAAAGGTCGGGTTGCAGATCTGGGCGGCCATTGGTGCCAGCAGAGAAAGGTTGCAGTTTAGCGCTGAGCTCGGGTTCTGGACTCCCGAGGCCTGTCTGGCTGTTTATATACACTCTCTATGGGGTGTTGGCATGTTACACTTCTTTTGCTCTTGGGAAAGCCTTTTCCTAACCCAGAAAGCTAATTGCATTAGAATGTGATTTTCACGACCCATCCAGAATTCCTTGCCTTGTAAAAAAAAAAAAATTGTTCATTTGGTTTGCTAAGTCAGGACTCTCCTCTGTTGTCATTTCCTAGCCGACTGAATTTTATTGCCTCTTCAAAGAGTCATTGCACCAGATCCCATAAACTGGGAGTGGCCTCAGACATGACATTGGAGACCTGACTTCCCTATCTGCCTTCCCCTGAGGAGTCCCATATGTCACCACTCATGCTCCCGCCCTGCTCATCTGGGTCTGGGCCACCAGGAATGAAAAGGGAGGGAAGGGACTAAAATCCATGGCACCCCCCGTCATATGCAAGCTCAGAGCTCCTTCTTTATACCTCATCACAATCCTGGGGGGCGGCTGATGTTTTCTTCATTTTACCAGTGTGGAAACCAAGGCTCACAAATGTTTAAAAAAGCTTGCTCAGGGGGAGTCGGGATGTGAGTGGCAGAGCTTGGATCTGAAACCAAGACTCCTGACACCCAATCCTGTGCCCCATCCCCTACTGCCCCACAACTCAGATCCAGTCTGGATACACAGAATTTAGAGACTGAGGTTCAAATCCTGGCTCCATTTGATTATTTGCCCTGTGACAGCGGGTATGCCACTTCTCTGGGATCCTTAATGTCCTCATAAGAATAATAGAGATCACTGTCCTGTCTGCCCACTTCACATAAATGCAAGGAGGATCAAACAACACAGAAGTAAAAGTATTTCAATGAGCATGAAGTTTCCTCAAAGACTAGGAATGGAACTTCCATGGGATCTGGCTATACCTCTCCTCAGTACTTATCCCAAAGAATTAAAATCAGCATACTGCAGTCACATAGGCATACCCCTGTTTATAGTAGCCCAATTCACAATAGCCAAGATATTAAACCAGCCTAAATGTCCATCAACCTATGAAGGATAAAGGAAATGTGGTCTATATTTACAATGGAGTCTTTTTCTGCCATAAAGAATAATGAAATTATGTCATTTGCTGGGAAATGAATGGAACTTGAGAGCATTTTGTTAAATGAGATAAGACAAACTCAGAAAGTCAAGGGTCATCTGTTTTCTCTTATATGTGGAAACTGGAAAGAAAAAAAGATGGGAAAGGAGGAGGGGAGTTCATGAAAACCAAAGGGAGACCAATGGAGCAGAAGAAGGGGACCAGCCATAGGGAGGGGAAGAGGGAAAAGGAAATACTGGGGAACGAAACCGACCAAATTATATTGTCATATTGGGTGCAGAGACAAATATGTAACAACAAATCCCAATGTAAAAACAATTAGCCAACAAAAAATAACAAATGAATAAACAGGAGTAAAAGTTTTTAAAAAAGCCATTGGTACTTCGGAAGCGTTGGTCCAGCTGGGACGGTCTTTGATGACACTCTATGGCATGGCAGCAAAGAGCCCAGGTGCGAACACTCTGAGGGTCCTGCTAGGGGCTGCAGAGGTCTGCCTGCCTGCCAGGTAGCATTGTGGCTGTGAGGGAAGGGTGAACCCCACAATCAAGCCCTTCGACAGTCCATAAACTCATCATCATAGAGTCTCTGCACTGTGGTGTCCTCATGTTTGGATCCATAGGTGGGACTTGAACCACCAGAGGCCAGTTTCCTTTGTGGCCCTCAGTTCTCTGAACCCAGTCGACTCAGACCCTCCCGGCCTCTGAACAGGTTGTGGAGATGGTCAGGGGCAAGTTCTGTGAACAGAGAAGGAATAAAAAGAATAAAGACCAGATATTGCCAGAGTTCCAACACGCCAAAAGAGAAGACTCTGAGAATGAAGCACCAAAGATAAACCCCGTCCTTCCATCTGGAAAGGTGGACTTTCCCAGGGCGTAGGGAACCTGCTTGTTCTTCACAGACTCCGTTTGCAAGGCTGGCGTTTATGGAAGCATTTATGTGCTTCTGAAGTTGTAATTTGCCAACCTCTTAAAGTGCTTTATAAGCTTCTCTCTGAAATTACTCAAGGAGGATTGACTATGGTGAACATGCCTCGCCCGGTGAAGTGGACACTACCACAAGATGCCCAAGAGTCGCTGGTGGTGGTCGCCCCAGGGAGACCTGCAGCTCCTCCTGGGAGCGGGAGCAGAGACACCAGCCCCCCAGAGCCCCAGCTGCCTCAGCAACTGCTTCCTGACAGCTGCCCCATCTCCCCAGCTCTCCCAGCAGGGCCTAGGATGACCCTGTCACATCCTCAACATTGTCAACTCTGTTCTCCGGATGACTCCATGTTGTATAGTGCTGTAAGCATCGTCACTGGATGGCAGTATTCCTGGCCCCCACCACCCAATACCAGCAGCAACTCTTTGCCCCATTTATGACAGCCAAAAATTTCTACAGACATTGCCAATATCCCCTGGGAAGTACAGGGTGGCAAAATGGCCCCCAGTTGAGAACCACTGGACTCTCAGAACAGAGTTTGGTCTGCCCCAAACTCCTCTAATCCCCCCGCCCCGGCTTTGTTTTCTAGAACAACTAGCACAGATTCTGCTGTCTCCTTGGGCCCACCCAGACTGCTCCTGAATACTCTGGAGCCCCAATCTGTCTCATTTGTGATACAGAGCACTTGTCCTGCAAAATGGACCTCGAGGGCAGCCCTTAATAAACACAGTTCTTACAGTTCTTCTCTCTTGGGGTCTCCGGCTGGTGGGCCTCTGAAATTAACATTTCATTTTCTACTTTTTTCTAATCCGTGCACTATGATTCAGACTTCCTCTTAGGGCAACTGAATAAGCAGGTACTTCATGCCCCAATTTCTTGTCATTCTTACCTGTGTATCAGGTGGGCCACCAGGGGCAAAAGAGATGTCCCCAGGGATGTGGGGAGAGCAAGCCACTCTCCCGGAACAGGTGTCAAGCAAATCAAAAGAAATAGTCTTTCAGCCACCCTCAGTCCCCCTGCCTTATCTCTATGATAAGCTGCATTGTCACCTCTCGGAGGGGACGTGCAGGAGGAAGTCCTCTGCCCTCTCCCACCCCAGCAATCTGGACCTCCACGGGAGAGAGTGGGGCCCATAGGAACAAATGTCCCACCTACATTTGAGGAAAGAACCAGACACCACATCTCCTAGGACAGCTCTAGGGGACCACCCCTCTCCCTTGGTGACCCAGCCCTTAAGAACAGCCAGTGTCCAGGGTAGAGTAAGCCAGGGGTGCCCATTCACCAGGCTTTACCCAAAAAGAGGATCCTTCTCTGAGACCTTTCTTTCTAACATCCATCAAAAACTGCACTGGCTAAGGGTTAGGAGATCTGGTGTCCAGGCCCAGCTCTGCCCTGACTCCCTCTGTTCTGGGCATCAGAGCCCCAGTCTGAACAAGGAAGGGTCTGGGAAATGAGCTGAGTCCCATCCATCTCAGACCTAATAGGATTTGGTGCCCATGGAGAATCTGTCACCCTCCACCCACCCACCCCCAGCCCATCCCCTCTCTGTCACTGATCTAGGGGTTAAAGAGGGTTTAAGGAGTTTCCAGCACAGGACAGGACTGAGTTGGCTTTTGTTTGTTTTTTCCAAAACATCCATGGACCTCAAGGTCTCTCTTTGCCTCCAGCATCACATGCTATAGGGACAATGAAGCTCCCCCGTGGTCTTCCTGGCCATGGGAAGAAGCAGCGTCTGTTCACCTCTCAGGGCAGCTCCTGAGAAGAGCCCCTTCAGAAGCGCAATGTCACTGAACACTGAACAGACATCCCAGCATGTCCAGGAGGTTGCAATGACATGTCTGGCCAAGTGAGCCAGAGACTTCACTTTGCAGAGGTAAGCACTCAAAACACAGGGCTGGACAGCAGGGGCAAGGCCTAGAACCTGGACTCAGCCACACCTGGGTCCTGTGATCCTCAGTCCTCCCAAGAGGCAGATGAAGCTCATGCCACAGTCACAGGATTGCGAGAACAGGACTGTGTTTGAAAAACTGGAAATCATTTCACAGATTAAAGGGAACTGTTCTGAGAACCCATGTAGTCTGAGCTGCAGTGGGATGCTATTTCCAAGACACAAAGCACTTGCTCTCGTTTAAAGAGACTGATTTTTTCAGCCTAATCCAAGAAAAGACAGCTCCTCAGAGAGGCAGTAACTAGGAGATGCAGCAGTCCAGAAATGCAGCAGTCCCCTTGGCCAGTGAGTGACATGGCCTGTAACCCTTCTTCTAGAAATTTCCAAAAGCCCCATTGCTCTCTGTCCACCATGAGCCCAGTGTTAGGAAGCAGGAGGAGGAGAGAATGCTGCTCTAGGAACAGAAAAGACCATGGCTTTTCCCAGGCCCATCTCAAAAGGCCAACAAGTCCAAGATTAACTGCTAAGTCTGTGGCTACTTCTTTGTTGAAAAGGGGTCTCCACTCTCAGGCAAGCTTCTTCCTGAAAACCAAGGTTCTGCATGGATGAAGACGGAGCATGTCACCTCTTCTGCCCAGCTCTGAGCAGTCCCTTTGATGCAGAGGGCCCAGGGCATGGCCTGTTATAATCTATCCAAGGAAGAAATGAGTGTTCTGAGCAGGGTCTGCTTTCCATGCTTCCCTGGCCTTTGATCAGAATGTGTCGGCCTCCACCACCTCCACAGAACCCCAAAAACAGCACAAGAAGCAGTCCAGACAGTAGTCCTGGGGCAGCCAGGTCACCTACCAATGGACACCAAGATCATTCCTGGGTTCATCTTTCCAACTTCCTCATATTCCTGTTACAACTTTGAAGGCCACACACAGGTCCTAGAGAATTTCCTACCACATGGAGCACCTAAGAAATGCTGATCCCAGGTCCTAACTTCTTCAGACCCTCCAGACCCACCCAGAACATTGGGGACCCCCCAGCTGATTCCCCCACACACAACTGCTCCTTCCTTATAACAAAGAATGGGTTCAAAGCACCTGGGATTCTGGGTCCCTCTCCTAAAAAAGCCCTTTTACTGCATATTCTGTGTCAAATAGCTACCTCCATAGCCAAACCTGCTGCCAGCTCCTGTCAGGTCCTAGCTCAGACATGCCACAACAGGTACACGAAGTTGAAGAAAGCATTATGGGAAGAACGAAGGCTTACAATTAAGACATTTCTAACTACCCACATAAGTTTCCCAAAGAATCCAGGAAAGGTCTCACTCAGTTTTGACAGTGAAAGCTGCAGGGCCATTATAGTCCTTGTAAGGATATTGGTTGCCAGGTCCGGCCAATAAAAACACATGCGATATTTGAGGCACACTTAAACTAAGAAGTTATTTATTGTCTCTGCAATGCCCGTTTACCTGAGCATCCGATGTCCTGTGTGGGAGCCCTGTTTCAGAGAGTGGGCCAAGCCAGATGCAGCTGCTTCTCCCCGCCCCCCACACTTCCCCCTTGAGTTCTGTCACCATGACAGGTTGAGATTGGGGACAGGTATATCAGGCTTCCCTTGGGAAATCCTGCCTTTGGGTTCCCTGATATCCTGGTCTCAACAGCTGCCATTTTTGCCTTTCCGGGCCCAGTGAGCCGTACATACTCAGAGGTAAGGGGCTAAGAAGTTGTCCTCCCTCAGGGCCTGGCCACCTCAGTGACATTCCATCTTGATCCCAGCTGCCTTCTGCAGGGTGACTCAGACCTTCCTAGGCAGGATTTTACAAGTCTCTCTTGGCTTCTTTTCCCACTCCCCCCTGGTGCCCCCAACCCACACCCACCCCATACTGTGGACCAGGCCTAACCAGGCTCAGGACAGTCCAAACACACAGGGAGTGACAAAGGAGGACTTCCCCTCACTGCCTCGCTGCCCCTCCACCAGGATCTCCAAGAGAGATG